TTTCACTCTAGTTTCGTTCTAAGTATGCTCTGTGGTTGCGGCTAAGTCCGATCTTCCGCATCAGAAAGAATTACTAGAGTTTTTGTTTTGTTGTTTTGTCGATACTCTCGCTAGCTTTTCGGCAAAAAATGGACGAAGAGGCTTTGAGAGTACGTAAATTTATTTAATTCTTTTGTGCATTTTTTTTTACATGGGTGCTAAAATTTAAATTGATTTGATTTCATATTTTTTTATAGATGGGTGCTGAGATATACGACCCTAGATTGTATATCGATCCTGGCCCAAGGGATCGAAGGTATTTAACCGGGCAAGATCAACATCGCTCTCGTTCAATTTGGAACAATAATCCGGTAGATACACTACAATTATTTCAATAGTTTTAAAGTTTTTATTTTGCTTTCTAAGTTTTTATTTTGCTTTCTATTGACTGACAATATTGTGTTTTTTGTTTTGTAGGAATCACTTATTCCCATCAGTCATCGAGGTACATGTCGATTGCCCCGTTGGCATCCTCGACTGCATCCCTATCTAGAGAGGGCGGGATTGCACAATTTGAGGCACTTTATGAGGCTAGATATTGACAACGATCTGCTGACGGCAATGGCAGAGCGATGGCGCCCTGAGCTGCATACCTTCCACTTTCCCGAGGGTGAAATGACGACCAGAAGATGGTTGGGGGCCATTGATTCAGGAACGTCTGGGGTTCAACATGCCGACCACCACGCCCGTCGAAGGGGTTGGGCATCCACCACTGAATGCGGGGCAAGTATCGATCCCGTGGCTTGTTGACCACATCCAATTGGAGGTTAATATAGGCATGGATACTCCTGAAGATCAGGTGGAGCGGTATGCACGTGTATACCTAATTGCCTTGGTTGGTGGGTTTCTGTTCCCCGACAAGTCAAATAAGTGGATACAAGGCATGTGGTTCCCTATGCTCCTCGGTGACTGGGACGAGATCGGGAGAAAAAGTTGGGGGTCGGCCGTCTTGGCTGGAATCTACCGAGAGTTGTGTACTTGCTCGAGGTTGGGAGCGAAACAAGCTGGTGGTGCGATGTTCATACTTCAACTCTGGGCATGGGAGCATCTTCCGTTTCTCGCACCTCAAGACCCTCGGGAATTCTGGTTGCCAGATGATGAGCTACGATTTGTAGCAAATCCCCCATATGGTTTCAAGTAAGTTCAATTTAAGTTGAATTTATTTTAGATATGCAATGGTAGCTAGTTAGGTGAATTTAGATTTTAGTGAACTTAGTGAACTTAGTATGCAATTTTAAGTATGCAATTATAGTATTTTAGTGAACTTAGCTATCTTCCAACTAAGCGAATTTAGAGACATTTTAGGTCTGCAATTCTAGTATTTTAGTGAATTTAGATATCTTCCAAGTAAGTGAATTTGGATTTATTCTAACCAAATCGTATTTAGGTAATTTAAAAATTGCTTATATATGTACTTTTGCTTAATTAGGTGGATCGGAGCAAATACTAACGACCACCAGGCCGAGCACTCTTTACTGTTTTATCGTGCTGAATTTGATAAGCCTTGGTGGAACCAGGTAAAAATATTGAATGTCATGATTTTCAATTTATTAGGTGGAGTGGATATAATTTTTACTAATTACGTGAATTGTAATGATTGTAGGCGGTATGGGATCCATATCCAAATGAAGTGGTTGAGTTGCATCGTCTTAGACATCCCGAGGATCAAGAGACATGGTTGTGCAAGGTGCCCTTAATCTGCTGGCACATGGTGGAGTGGCACCTGCCCGATCGATCTTTGAGGCAATATCGATTGGAGCAACCAATTCCAGCATCCCCACCTCAAGGGTTCAGGGAGCTCCACGCCATTGACCTACGCTACAACAAAAAGGATTGGACCCGCAAACATGAATTCTACATCAACATATGGGAGAATAGAAATCAGTGGGTGGTCCAAGGGGCGCCGGAGACAAGGCCAATGGGGTACCACGATGGCTACATGCGGTGGTATCGGCACTTCACGCTAAGATGGGTGTCAAAGCAAGGTGCTGTTTGGGGCGCAGTGGTAAGTGAATTCCATTTTGGCCTATTTTAGTTAATTTTTGTAGTATAATTACATGCCTATATTTGCTAGAATGTTAATTAACATTGTTAGATTTAATGTTAGTTAATTTTTGTAGTATAATTACATGCCTATATTTGCTAGAATGTTAATTAACATTATTAGAGTTAATTTTAGTTAATTTTTGTAGTATGATTACATGCCTATATTAGATGATAGAAATCATTATTAGATTTACTATTAGTTAATTTTGTAAAACAATTTATTAGGTTGACGGTTTGGAGCATGCGAAGCACACCGTCGAGAGTGCACCCACCATGGATGAGCGGAAGACATCTTTTTTGCGCAGGCTTTTCAACAACTTGCTCTGTTGTACCAGAGAGCAAAGGAGGGATGTCATATTATACCCTCCAGTGCCTGCTCCGGCCCGACCTTCATTCCGTGCTGATGAGAGGATTGTGCCCCCAGAAGAGCCCCCACGGAGGAGCAGAAGAAGGGTGAGAGAACACATTGATGAGCTTCGTCCGTCTCAGCAAACTCAACTTCCTCAACCATGGCCACATTGTGAGTGGGCTACTAGTACTGAGGGAACCGGAGGGTCGTCAAGCTATGCCCCGACGATGGAGCATGACATGTTCACCCAAGCCACCCCTCAGTTCCACCATCAGCAACAAACTACTCAGTATCAGACCCCGCAACAGCAACATACATCATCGACTTTCTACCACACTTCTGGTCCAACTCAGCAACCTCCACCCCCACCACCTGTCTACACTCCGGTGGGTGGTCGGGTTAAGAGGAATCCGCGCGCAGTTGTCCAGCGGGCTCGTGAAGAAGGAGGAGGAGGTAGAGAGGGCGGAAGAAGGGGCCGAGGAGGTCGTGGAGGAAGAGGAAGAGGAAGAGAAGGGGAAGTGGAGGGAAATGAAGACAACCAGTGAACTATCTATGTCGTTCTAATTTAGTTCCATCTTTTTTTGTTTTCCATGAACTATCCATGTCGTCTAAATTTGGTTTGGGGCTTGTGTTGTTTTCCATGAACTATCTATGTTTCTAAATTTTGTTTCGGATTGTGTTGTTTTCCATTAACTATCTGTCGGCTAAATTTTGTTGGTTTTTACCCCCATGTTGTACCAAAATGAACAACAAACGCCCTTTATTACAATCACTCAACAAGATTGAAACAAGAAGTCCAAATTAAACATCACAACAACGAAAACTACTCAACAAGATTAAAACAAGGAAGTGAACAACAACAACATCAAGGTAGGTTCGGAATTGGCGCCGAATCTTGCTCTAGAGGTGGACCTGGGCAACGCCTCTTGTCATGACCCGGTTGTCTGCACTTTGAGCAACGCTTTGGACCCCGTCGGGCACGTTGTGATTGGTCCATTTCATTGTGAATCCTTTCGGTCCTAGGACGACCTTTGGTGCGCTTTAAGTGTAACGGTGGGATAATCAACTTCCCATTGTCTACAGGCCAATAAGCTTCATCTGGCAGGGGGCTAAAACTTGACGAGTAGGAGTTCCTGATCGCCTGTTCCGTGTAGTAAGGACTAACCAAACTGTAAGCGCTGAGGGTTATCGACTTAGCTACTGCCATTGCATGTGAACAAGGTACTCTTCTGTTTTGATACTTTTGGCATGTACACTCTCCGGTGCGAGTTTCTACGTGTAGAGTTACGGATTGACGATTATGCCCACGTCTTCCTCCACCCCAGATACCTGTTTGCACAGCAAAAATACCCTCATTGCGGTTGAACAGAACAACTCTGTGCTTACTTGATTTCTCTTCGATCTTCTGCATGCCGTCAAATATATGCTTAGCTATTGAATGACCAGCACGCTCCCTCCCTATAGCAGCATCCCGTCTCTTCACAAACCACTCGTTTACCTTCCAGTATGTCATCTCCACTAGGACAGATACAGGCATTGCCCTAATGCCCTTGTAGACTCCATTTATGCTCTCCCCATGGTTGGTAGTTGCAATTCCGAATCTAGCCCCGTTGTCCATGTGAAATGTCCACATGTGCAGATCTTGACCTTCTGCCCATACTGCTCCCGCCCGGTGTATTTGACGGATCGTCTTCATCTTCTGCTCGTACTTTTTTGGTTGATGTGCAACCGCTACAAGACCGGAGAATTAATAATTAATCCATAAGAATTGCCATTTGAACAATAAACCTTGAACAAGCACTGAATTACATTATTACCTGCACTCCATAATTGATCTCTGATGTCTTTCTTCTTGCCAAATTTGGCTTGAATGTCCAGAACAGACAATGAAACATCAACTCGTTCTGTACTCGAACTTGATCTTCAGTTTCTACGTTGTTGTTCCAAGGCACGAAAACCGTCCCAGGGTTGGACTCCTCCATTGCGGACATTAGTCTGGGGAGTAAAGCATACGAGTCATCCCAATCACCGTAGACATCAGCCATGGCCTTCTGCTTCCCATGCCACGCCTTCTTATACCTTATGGTGTAGGAGTGTCGATCCTTCACCTCCGCCATGATAGCTTTTATCTTGATATCTAGTTGTGCCTCGATAAGGTGCTTAATGGTTCTTGCCACTTTTTTTGCTTTCAGTTGCCGGTGATCCTGTGAAAGTATGGTTGAGGAGCAACTGTGGTTGTTCTCTGCTGTCCGCATGACCCAGACCCCCTTTCTCTTCATATATGCAGCACGAAGTTGCCACATACAACCCTCTCCAGCATTCTTACAAATTACATGCAGTTGTCCCTTGTCAGAATATTTTACCTTCCATTCGAAATTACGCCGCATGGCTTCTTCGCTAAAAGCGTCTTGCACATCGGCTTTCGAAGTGAACGCCATACCCACTTCCAAATTAGCAGTCGGATTATACACAGGCATGGGCCGATAGTCAGGGGCATCGTTCTGACCATATAAAAATTGATCAGGAACCTCTGTGTAGTAAGGCGTTGGTGCCTGGCGGAACGCCACCTCACTGTCATCGATATCGTCGTTATCGTCCGCATCTTCCTCCTCACTGACTGATCTCAAATCTTCCTCACTTTCATCGTCACTGGAGGCGAATGGATAGCTCGGCGAAGGAGGGTCATCGTTAGCAGCATAACCAGCATCGCCTTCTTGGTCATGCGAAGTACGCCCAGTTCGAAGGGTGTTTTCAATGTCACCCCACTCTGGACCCCAAGCAGGCCATTGATCACCGTCGGGCTGAACGATATCGACGGCAGTCTCACCACCATGTGGCAGGTATTCTTCCCACCCAACAGCTCCTTCAGAACTACCTCCTCCGTAGTTGCTTGAAGTACCTCCCCAACCATACCCTCCGGCAGAAGAACCTGCTCCGTAGTTACTTGAACTACCACCCCAGCCATACCCTCCTGCAAAACCATCATCATAAGAATACTGGTGAGAATGAGTTTCACCGACCGGCTCGGTCTCGACATACACCTCTGCAAGCCGCACCCCGTTCTCAGATATGAACTGTGTCATCATGTTCGCGTCGTCATCGTCATTTATGTCAACTCTTTCGTACATGACTCCGTCAGCACTCATGTTGGGATACCGGTAAGTAATTTGACGAACTCTCATTTGCCCGCCCGTACAAGTCCTTTCTGCACACCTGTCATGGAGTTCTTGCCACGAGAATCTCGACTCAATTGTAAGCGAACTGGATTCGCCATCTTCATAGTCGATCCCAATGTTCGAGTTTGTCACCCGACCATTCCAATAAATAATAAGCCGAAACTTCTTAAATTTACCCATGTCTGCAATTTATAATAATTAAGTATAGTATATAATTAGTACATTATGGATACAAAAACAATATCATCCAAAGCGATAATAAAATGCAACTAATTTATCTATTATGAGAAAACTAAACAAATTCATCTAAATTCATAACTAGCTAACTAACATCTATCATATCATAATTAAACTAAATAATATCATAACATATTTTCCAATAACCGCAATTCACTAAATACAAACAGTATAATTACTAACACATCAACATGTAAAAAATACATACTTATAACATACTCAATCCCGATCTATCATGATAACTAAACAAATTAATCTAAATTCAGTACTAACTAACTAACATATATCATTAATCTAAATATATAATTCTAACATACCTAATTCTAGCACATAATCAAAATGTAAACAATACATAATTCTAACATACCGAATCCCGACGAGTTTCTTGAGCAGTAAACTACGGAGGAACCAGCTGCGAAAACGATAATTTTGGTACTAATTTTCTGTTTGGCAGCAGGAGTGTTTGGCAGCAGGAGGGAAGAGGGGGCGTGGCTTTTTATAGGAAAAATTGGAGGCAATCACCGCTTTGGACAAAGGCGGTGAACCATCATCGCCTTAGTCAACAGCGGTGATGGCTAGGTAGCTGTTACCTACCTGTCCACCTACCAGGGCTGTGTAAAACGTGGGGGCAATCACTGCTGTGGACAACAGCGGTGATGGCTTCACTGTTGATGTCCAAAGCGGGGATACGTTCCCCGCTTTTGTCAAAAGCGGGGATACAATCCCCGCCTTGGACAAAAGCGGGGAACGTATCACCGCTTTTGACCACAGCGATGATGCATTCCCCGCTTTTGTCCAAGGCGGTGATGCGTACCCCGCTGCTTCACTGCTTTGGACAAAAGCGGTGATCAACATCACTGTCTTAGACAAAGACAGTGATGTTGAAACTGCTGTATTTTGGGAATTAGTTTTATAAGTACTGTATTTAGGGAATTTTTTTTAATAACTCGCGTATTCTGGGATTTTTTCCAGTCATTCAGCAAGAAATGAAAAGGGCAACACTCAACAGTCAAAGATAGTTGCCGTTTGGAGACAAATGCCAAATAACCATCATGACAACTCATGCGAGCCAACGATTAAAGTCAAGGTTGTTAAACCGGTTTATATCGTTGTGTCGGTTTGGCAAGTGGAATGATACGATTGGTAGTATAATTAGTTTGTGTCAGTTCAACCATATTTTAAAAAATGAGAAAACTATATATATATATATATATATATATAATATATATATATATATATATATAACATATTTGTGGATAATTTAGTTACAATCCAACAAATATCATCAACTTGTAACTATTAAATTTATAAAAGAATAATAAATTAAAATTTTTATTAATTAAATTCATTAAAATTATGTTATTTTGCTTAAAATGCGTTAGACGATCATACTGGTGGTGTCATGCCGGTTTCATGACCGACACAAGTTGAACCAGGTTCAACCGGGTGGCATGCCACTGACATGACAACCATGATTAAAGTAAAAAAACCACCCATAGAAGATGGGAAAATGAAAGTGACGAAACCACATTTTGAATTCGGAGAGATTAACACTATGTTTCCGAAGGAAGGGAGGAAAAGGGGGGAGGTGAATGAAAATTAGGAGAGAAGGGGAGGGGAGATTTGGAGGTGAAGGAAATTGAGAGGAAAATGTTGTTTTATAGAAGAAAGTGGAAAGGAAATTGTGTATTGGTAAGTGTATTGAATATTTTATTTTATTAGTTATTTAATAGTAAATAATTTGATTGTATGTTAATAATAATTTTGAATTAAATTTGTACTTTCTTTCTAAAACGCACTAGAGATTATATCGAAAAAATTAGTGGCAAGGTATTTTGTTCCAAAACTATAGTTAAACCAACGATTTTAGTACGAAATACTCTACTTTCCCAGTACAATTTCGTAATTTTTGATATTACAATCAAATCTCTCAACACCCGATTCATAAAAAACCTACTTAAGTATTATTAATTAATTGAACAATGGAGACCATAAAAATAACTAAGGAATTGAAAATAAAACCCAGACCCACTTGCCTAGTTGCCTTCTCTCTCCCTTCTCTTTTCGTCTACCTATCTTCTTCTTTGCCCCCAAAAATAGGGGTGAACAAACACACCCGCAAACCGACCCACCCGTCCAACCCGGCCCAACCCACCCGTATTTATTGCTAAATTGTAGGTTTTGGGTTGGGTTAGGGTTTTCTTTTGTACAACCCGCCTCTTTTGGGTTGGGTTTGGATTTTGGATTACACAACCCGTAGAACCCGACCCAACCCGTGTTCCAATTATTGGTATGAGTTCGTATCCAAAAAAATATTTATGTCGTATATAGTCATATTTTTCTCTTAAAGTCTCACTAATCTAATGCATTCTTCGACTTAAAGTTTATACATATATTTAATATAGCTATGATTCACGTATTTTTCTTGTGTACAATTTTAAAAGAATATCATATTATGGATGCGTACTTAGCCTATTTCAACAAATGTCGTGAAAAAAACTAGACATAAGTTGAAGTAAATCAAGTTTTATTAAAATTCAAACAATATTTGTGAATTTTGATACCTTTCACCTCGATTTATTCGTTTGAATTTTTAATTTGTTATAAAATATTTTTATGATGTAGAATAATTACATATTTTGTGTTGGGTTGGGTTGTTACTTAAAAATATCGCCAACCCGACCCAACCCAATTAGAAACAAACCGTAGGGTTTCGATTTTTTTGGGTGAGTTTGGGTTTAATATTTCCCAAACCGTAGTGCATGGGTCGGGTGATTAAAATGTCTAAACCCGGACCACCCGACCCATGTACACCCCTACCCAAAAATGCAATCTAAACCCACCGACGAAGACGATGACCCATATCGCCTTTTCCCCCTCCGTTCACCACCGACGACGACTCCGATCTTATCTATGGAGGTTAATGAGCTTGCATGTTTCAGTTTTCAATTTATGAGATTTCGATTTGAAGAAAAAAGGTAAACTCCACTCTATTTGTTTGGATTTTTGGTGACGTTTCCGAGGGGAAGAAGACGGGAGAAGGCTCGCGCGCTGTTCTCGTCGCCTACTAGAGAGCATCCGGGAGATCAATCATGGAATAGAAGTCGAGCTCTCTGGATTTGGGAAGGAAAAACGAAGAAGTTGAAGCTCGGAAGCGTTCGATTTGAGGAGATGGCGGATTTTAGTACAGTGGATGTAAACTTGGATTGATTATGGGAAAGAAGCGGACAATGAATAGGGAGCGAGTGAGTTTGGATCGATCATATTTCTTCTTTTTTTTTGGTGGGTAGAAATCGATCATACTTCTGGGGACAGCCATGATTTTCTCTGGTTTGGTTTTGTACTTGGGGAGAACGAAGAAGAAGATGGGGAAGAGAGAGTAGGGATGAGGGAGCTGTCAAAGAAAAAAGAAAAAAAAGGAAGAAATGACAAATTGTCATTTTCTCTCCGATTGGGGGTTGGGTTCAACAGTGACCCATCCCTCCTTTTCCCTTCACCTCCGTACTATTAAGGGGAAATTTTTTCAAAAATCCCACTCCCCCCTATTCTTTCATCTTTCCTTTCCTTCGTCTTCCGCTCTAAAAAAACAGTGTAATGGTATTTTGCTTAGTGGATTTAAAAAATAAGTTTTTGATATAATTTGAGTTTTGAAAATCATGAATGTATGAGAATTTTGGGTTCATTATTGATTGAAAAATACCATTGCTTGTTTTATGGATTTCATTATGCATTTTGTTAGTTAAATTTGTATGTATGAAGTGAAATTTACTTTTATAGCCCTCAATGTTATAAGAAGAGAGAAAATATGAAGGTAGGCTAGTAAAAAATGTCCATGATCAATTGCCACCTAAAGAGGTGTGATTCTCAAGATCGTGGGGCCACGAATTTTGACCCTGGTTCGTGGGTCCAAAGGATTTGTATCCTCAAAATACTTGAAACAAACAATAGATTTTGAACAAAGTCTATCATGGATCCAAATCCATCACCAAATCATTCACAAAATCTACCAAGCAAACAAGCTCTAACATTAGAGATCATATAGGATCAGATTACATAAATGAAATCGGTTCCTTAATTTTTAGCAGGGTCAACTTTAATGGTCCAGATTAAATATTTTTTAAATAATTTTTTCTTGATTGTATTTCCTTATTTTCAACTTATATCTAAAAAATATTTGTACAAAAAATAAGTTAAAAATTATCTACAAAACAATATTCAATATAATGCAAAGAGAAAAGATTATTTTAAAATAATTTACACGAAAGAAACATCTTCTTTAGGTGGGCGCTCATCGATGTTGGTTTCCCTCTTCTTCCTATTTTTCATAGGAGAAGGTTGGAATTGGTGAAAGTCCTAGCTGGATTTGTTTGCAATTGTAGAGGAAAACTGATTATTGTCTGTGGAGCCGGAGATCGTCGATGATTGACTCATTACTATGGTTATTTTGTAGTGCAGTTAGTTTATTCCGCTGTGTAATCGTTTGCCAGGTGTTGAGGTAAATGATAGTTACCATTGTAAATAGTATAATCAGAATTTGTATAAGAAGAGAGTGAAACCGCGTCGTTGGTTTTTGTGGATATTCGATCCATCTCTGATTGCTCGATATTTTCTTCATGGTATCAAAGCCCATATCTGAATCTCATTTCTCGACTACGATGTCTGGCGCCATGCCACCACCGTTTACTCTGTCTGGCAGTAAAACCACCGTTGGCACAGTACTATGCTTCGGGACTTATGCCGAAACTTCAGAACATGGTGAGAGAGATGAGGTTCAATTTGGAAACCCCTACTACCTCAATTCGAATGAGAATCTTTCTCAATCGATTATCTTTGAGGTTTTACATGGAGCGAATTACTCTGTGTGGAGTCATTTGATGCGTATGGCTTTCAAGACGATGCATAAGTTGGGTTTTTGTCGATGGATCTATTCTAGCTTCTACTACTACATATACCCGATTATACTTATGGGATGGATGCAATAGTGTGTCTGTTGCAGTTAATTACATTCTGCAACATGAGCAGAAATTAAAAGGGTATCATTCTAATAGTAGGACTGCCCAATTAGTGGGTTTAGCATATGAGAAAGATCAATCCCCTAAAAAAAAGATCAGTTTAAAGGGCGACATGAAGACAATTATGAGAACTTTTTTTGTAGATACTGCAAGTGAACTTATCACACTATCAAGGATGCTGAAAGCTGAAGAGGAAGGAAAAAGAGAAGGCATCTGGTGTCTTTGCTGGTTCTGTATCTCAGGAGAGTCATTCTTCTAACAACGACAATACTATATAAGATGTTGATGTCAGTCCTTCTAAGAATATTTTGGGGCTATCCACTGATTAGATTAACAAGTTGAAGATATTATTGCAATTTAGTGTTGATTCTGGCCCCATTTTACCTGGCTCCCCTAGGATTGCTTCTAAGGCATTCTCAGTATCACCAATACTTAACTGTAGTTCCCAATCATGCTTGTAAGTAAGTTTTTTCTTACCATCTAGACATTAAACAATTCGAATTAGCTAGCATATAGATTTTGGATACTGGGGCCTCAGATCATATCATATGCAATGCGAACCATTTTCTTGATCACTCAGCTGTAAAAAAAAACACTTATGTTTACCTGCTTAACAATGCCAAAATTCCTGTAAGCCAAAGAGGAAGTGCTAAGTTGCCCTCCGACCTTGTCCTGCACTACAC